ATCCTCCTCCTCATCCTCCTCCTCCTCATCCTCCTCCTCCTCATCCTCCTCCTCCTCATCCTCCTCCTCCTCATCCTCCTCCTCCTCATCCTCCTCATCCTCCTCCTCATCCTCATTCTCCTCCTCCTCCTCCTCCCGCCCTGCCAGGGGCACCAGGAGCTGCCCAGGGGCTGCACAGACCGGGGATGAGCAGCGAAGGGACGAGGAGCAGGGACAGGGGCTGTGTGTGCAGAGACAGGGAAGGGAACAGGGCTGAACTGCTCCGGGGAGGTAAAGCTGAGGTGTGACTGGGAACTGCAGGGAGCAGCGTTCCTACCCGCTTGAGCTGGCACTGAGGGACAAACCCTGACTGTTGTCACCGTCTCGCCTAAAGGGAATGACTCTGCCTCTTCATGAAAAGTCGCTCCTACTGATTCTGCATTGGAGTCTGATTTCCCAGCTACCTCTTTATACAGGCAGTGTCCCTTGCTCACAGCCAAGCCTGAGTGACCCGTGATCACCTTCTCCACCTGAGCACAGCCTGCAGACGCCAGCACAGACACAGGGACCTCCCACCGCCCTCAAAACACCGACCTCAGCTGCCTGCTTGCTTGGACTGACAAATGAAAGCAGAGAAGAGTGCACAGGTTAGTGTGCAAGTCAGTGAAACAGGTAAGAATTGAACCAGAGGGTTCAGATCTGATCCTCAGCTCTAACAGCCAGGAAATAAACACATTTATACACAAGCATAACTCAACTATCAACTAGAAATCAATCTATCAGCTATCTCAGGAGCAGTGCTGCTTCAGGGAGACCATCACCATCTGCAGGTGTTAGCATGAGGAAGCACGAGAGAGCAAGGAACATTATTTTAAGCTACGAAACCAAGACTGAGCTGTGTTGCCACGGGTGAGCTGATCTAATCATTTGCCAGGCTTTGCATTCAGTTCATTTGTGTGTTCTGAAGTCATCCCAAAGCCCTTGAAGCAAAGCAGAGTTAAGAATCTGACAAATACATTGTCTAGTTTCTCCAAAGTCCGTTGGCTTTTCCTGCAAAGCTGCACAGGACATGTTAAATGCTTTAGATTTTGCAGGCTGGTTTCCCACATCTTAAGGTGCAAAAACCAAAGGAGTCTGCATTGAATTCATGTAGCTATCCCAGCAGGTGTGCAAGCAGTTTCAGGACAAGTTGCTGTTGAGCAGGACAAACACGTGTCAGTGTGTGCTATCCATCCACAAGGAATATTACACCAAAGCTAAATAATTAGTCTGTGTTTCAATACAAGCTTTATGGGGGTGTGATATTAAGCTGCCACAATAGGTGCACTGGTGCCACCACCATGGCAGTCACCAAACTGGCAATTATTTCTAGCTGTTTCTCTAATAGTAAGAAGATGGCAATGAGTTAATACAGTGAGAAGGAGCACATATATTTTACTCAATTTAGCTTCTGTTGAATGGCATATTTTTTACTGGATCCTTAGGGAACACCTTCTTATGGAGAGACAAGATTTTCATTCAAGGTAGGGCACAAGCCCCCTCATGGATGAGGTTTCTGAATCCTTTTGGTCACTGACAAGTGACAGAGAGAGGCTCTGTCAGGAAGGAGTGGCAGATGAACTCATCCAGTTCAGCAAGTACCAAAAAAGCCTATTTATTTATTAGATGTGTCATTAGTCATGCTTATTTTCCAGATTACTTTTGGTGAGGTACAAGTGCCCAGACTTTGTAACATTAGACACAGACAGAGGTTTCCAATAAAATGCACAAATTGCAGTGAAAGGTTATGGGATGGACAGTAATCACACATATAATTCTGTATCTCAGCTCTGCCAATATGCACCTGAGGTGGCAAGTTGTTATCTGGGTTTTCCAAGCATCATCCCCCATTTGCTGTCTGGGTGCTAAATGCACCTGTGAAGGTAGATGCACTTAAGAGGCAACTGTTTCCCAGCTCAAGAGATTTTGGGGTGAGCCTTGAGGATGA